TTTCTGATTTTGTAAAAAATTTTAATTAAGTTTAATAAAGATAAGAGCAAGGTCTCACCATTAATATCAAAAAAAAATTATATAACTAATACAACTATAAGTATAGTCTAACCTCTATATAGTCACTCTCTATATAATCACAAATTCAATATAATTACAATAATTCATTTACCAACTTTTTTTCATATTATTTTAATCTCTATATAAGCACAATTGCTTTATAGTAGTGATGGTACCCGATCAAAAAAATGCTACCCGGTTATCTGATAGATAAACCTGCAGGTTACTTGAGTGATCTACAGATATATCTGAATATAAAATTCTACCCAATATACCCAGGTAAAGTTAATTAAATATACTCTTACTTTAGTTCACTTTTCTGTTCAAATTGAACTTTTACTTTAGTTTTCAGCCTAAATCTTATAACTTTCAAATAAAATATAGATATGTAATTTTGTAAGAAATCTTTTTATTACAAGTATAACATAGAGGTTGTATTTTGTTATAAGTTTATTACTTTGCTAGAATATATTTATCAAGCATAATTTATTTATTAATTCAATACTAAATATTGCTTTTTAACTTATTGTTAAATACTCTATTATCTTTAAATTTTTGATAAATTTATTCTATGGTAAACTAAAAATATTTACTATTTCCAAGCTTTTTTACAATATAACCTATTTTGCTTAACAAATAGTAATTCATTAACTACTTTAGGAGATAAACAGGTTTTTTTAGAAGTAATTTGATTTCTCACATCAGAAAAAAGATGTTCGCTTGGAACAAAAGTGGCTAGGATCGATAAAAATTTTTATGCCACCCTGCTTAATATAGGAAAGGTGCTTTGGTTAGTATTTCACTAGTTATAAATATCAATAGATTTGGGTTTAATTAGTGTAATCGATTTATTCAAATAATTATCAATTTCAATTTCATGGTTTATCTGGGTTTGACTATAACTAAAAATTTTTTTCATAAATATAGAAGGTGCTAATAAAGATACTCTCACTCTATCAATTTTAGCTGGCTTTTTGTTCTTAACTATACTTTGCCAAGTCTTAAACACAGCACATAGCTCTCTAATTGTTCTATTTCATGTTTTATTTGACCATGTTTTCATCGATTTTAATCTTGGATCCAACATAGTAGCAATTAATTCAATATGTTCAGAATCATGCCAATAATGTTCAAGAGAATTATAAATAACTTTTTGAACTTCTGAAATTATACTTTTATTCGAAGATAGCCTGTAGTTGGTCATATCTTGAGCATCTATCATCTGAATTTTCATCAAATAAATCATCAAAAGCTGATATTTTATTTTAAGTATTAAGGATTTAATATTTAATATTGCAAATAATAATTAAATTAAAGGAACCTCTATTTGCACTATAAATTTTTACTATTCATACTGTAAATATATACAGATAACCTCAAAAAAATGAATAATCTATATATATTCATATATAAATAGCAAAAAATATAGGGCTAATGCAGTCGGTCTTCTTTACAGTCATCTCCTATATAGTCATATTCTCTTTATAAGCACCATTTTTGAAAAATTATTGATAATTTATTTGTTAAAAAATCTTTATATAATCACATTACTATTAAATTTTATAATAATATCTTTTTTATATAAAACAAACCATGTAATTATAGAGAAGGATGACTGTAGTAGTATCAAAAAATTAAATTAAAAAATTTTTATTTTCACTTTCAGATATGCTTTCATTGATATTTTTAAGTTTATCTGAAGTAAACATATTATCATCAAAAAATTTAGCTTTTAATACTTTAATGGTTATATTAACAATTAAAAGAGTAGTATAACGAATTCTACTAAGATAGGTAGTTAGTTCATCAAATAGTTTAAATATATTTATCAATTCTTGTAACAGCACCTATTTAGTATCATTAAGCATAAGATGTCTTAATTTATTAGAATCTTTTACAACACCATCCTCATCTCCTAAATGTAAAGTAGCTAAAAGCTATTCAATTGCTAGATACAGTTCTAATAGTTTTTTTCAAGATTTGTATGTTGAATTCCAGCAGGTTTTAATGTCACTAATAGTGCATAAAATTTTAGGTGTTGCTTTAAATATTTTCGATTGATCATTGTCATCAATTTCTACATCAGGTAAGCTTTTATTTAAATCATCAAAACAATGTAATTGAATGGAAGTCAGGGTGGTTTTACTATATTGAGCTAATTCTATTTGTGCCTAGTTAAAGCATTGGCTCTGCTTTGATAATTTAAAAAATTTGATTAGTTCATCGATTTTTTGTATATATAGTTTTATAACTTTTAGGGCCTGAATAACCATGAGTTGAAGAGTATAAACTGAGCAAGGAATACATTATATACCATCTCAGATCCTAATAGCTTTTTTCATATTTGTGCTGTTATTAGTAACAGTACAAATTATTTTTTCATCTAATCCAAATTCATTAATTTTTTAATATAGATATTTTTTGATTCTTTCACTGGTATGTGGATAGTCCATTCTTTTAATAGCCAATATTGCATCATAAATCTTGAAGTCTTGTGCCAACCAATAGATAGTTATACTGATATATCTATTATTATTTCGAGATATCCATATATTCATAGTGATTGAAGCTATTTCACAAGTAGTATGAAGTAATTTTTTCATTTCTTTTATACTTTTTTGGTAAGCAATAGTGAGGTCTTTTTTAATATTTTTGCGATTTGGTAGTTTAAATGCTGGATCAACTTTATTAATTATTTTCCTATATTCTACTCTATGAATAGTAGTAAAAGGCAAAGAGTCAGTAATCAACTATTCAGCAGTAACTTTTCTTAGTTCTGCTTGTATTGCTTTCCTATGAGGCATTGCCTTCCTAACTATTTGATCAATACATAGCTGATGCTTTTTGTCTGAATTTTGTTCAAAATTATCTGGTTTCAAGATTTTATGCTTTGCTCAAAAATGAAATTTCATATTTCTGGTTCTAGTATTATACTTGTAATTTGTTCCACATTTTTTCTCTTTTATGTTCTTAAGTACAATTATCTTATATACTACACGTCCTTTTCTATTTAAAAATATTCTCATACATAGCTTTTCATACAGCCTTTTTTGACTACTAGATCAGTAATATTTACTCAGATCTTTTTTACACTTTTTTCTTCTTCATTTCCATTAATAGTCTTTTTTTTAGTTGTGGTGCTATAAAGTTCATCCTTATTATTTTAAGGTTCAGCATCTGAGCTAGTATAGGGGTTAATACAAAGGTCTGCATAAGAGTCAGAATAAGGGTCAACATAAGGGTCAGCGTAAGGGTCAGCATAAGGGTCAATATTAGAATTAGCATAAGAGCTAGTACAAGTGATACTATTAGAGTTATATTCATTGTTGCTATCCATGATTGTTAAAAATAACAAAAGAGAAGGTTAATTTAAATAAGACTTTTTATTGCTATAGTATTCAGTAGTAAGTAGAATCTAATTGTTTGTTATCAATTTTTTTTTTTTTTTGAATGATGAAGAATAAACCAAAAACTTTTTATATGAAATTTTTGTGACTTTATTAAAGCAAGATTTTTTTTATAAATTACTTGAAAATTGCCACAAAAATATTTATACATTTGATAGATTTTAAAATCATCACATGCATTGTTATAGGCTTTAGTAATGAGATTTGATTATTTTATAGGCTTTGGCCATCTTTCTTTGTGTGAATTCTATGGGTTTTAGCAATTTTATCATATGCATTCATGATTTTAGTAATTTTAAGTATATTTGATAAGCTTTATTTGTATGAATTCTATAGACTTTGGCAATTTTATTGCATATATTCATAATCTTAGCAACTTCGAGTATATTTGTTAAGCTTTGGCTATTACAACTTAACATTTAGAATTTTAGCAATTCTGGTAATGGTAAATTGCATTTTACTATTTTTGGCATCATGCTGATTGTAGATTATTTCTATAAAAAGATAAGTATATATACATACCTTTTTTTTTGTTTGTTTGTTTTTAATATTTGAGTTTTCATTAATATTTTATTTATAGCAATTTAGAACGCACAATGCTAAAATATTAGTTTGCTAAAGCTGAAACGTGAAATTAAAAAAAGTTTGTATATTATATTCTTTTATAGGATAGTCTGTACTAAAATGATATTTACTTTATTAGTTTTCTGATTTTAATATTAGATTGTTATAGTGCTACTGTAGATTGAAACAGTTCTATATATTTATATTTTCTCACAATGCTAA